GAGAATGCCTAAATAAATATTTTTCAATGTATTCACAGAAAGACAGTAAGACAGAATGAGGTATGAAAAAGTACAAAGACTTGCCTAAAATTATATGCAGTTTAAAGAGTTAAAGATCAAATCCAGTGCTTCATAGCCTCGGGCACTTTAGCATGTTTAGAAACTAACACACATTAATTTCCTCTAACTTCAGCCACCACCCAGATTTTTAATCACTGAAAGATTTTCAAAGGATAAGGGAGAGGGCACTGATTTCATAATATGTCAGTATAAATGAGTTTTTCACAGCTATCACTTTCCCTCTTAGAAACACTGAAGATGACAGTTAAATAGCATTTCCAAAATGGTATAGAGGAAAACATAAATAGAACAGGGATGCATCTATCACCAAATGTTTTGATGAAAATATCCAACAACATATATTACCCCATTGCATGTACTACACTGTATTATATATATACTATACTATACACTTTAATAGGAGCTCTGGTAGCATAGTGGCTAAGACACTTGCCTGCTAACCAGACGGCTGGCGGTTCAAACCCACCAGCCACTCCTCGGAAGGAAGGTTGGGCAATCCTACTTCCATAGTGATACTGCCTTGGAAACCCAAGGAGGGGTCGCTATGAGTCGGGGCCGACTCGATGGCACATAACAACAACAACAACAACATACACTTTAATGCAATGAAAGTTAAATAATTCATATCATGGATTAGTTTATCCAAGGGCACATAATTATTCTGAGTTAAACATAATAAAAAAAAATTACAGTAATATTATGCTTTGATATTATCTTCAGTGTTTGACCTTCAAACTTTAAAATGGTCTTTTAAAAATATATACACTTATGAGATAAACTGTCTATAGACTGTACAAATGTCATATTGTCCTTCTGTTACTAATTAACTTCATTCTATGCACATGAGCCAAATATCTTCTCATCCTGAGTTTAATGAAAAGGTAGGAGACTGAAATAACATTCCCACCAAGTGCTCTTTCACCACAAAGTTGCTCTGATCTGTCATTAGTTTACTATTACATCGGGCCTTCCTGTAGGTATCACACTTAGAAATTACTCTGGTGCAAATGATGATAATAATAATAGCTAACACTTACTGAGGGAACTCTGGTAGCATAGTGCCTAAGGCACTTGACTGCTAACCAGAAGGCTGGAGGTTCAAACCCACCAGCCACTCCTCAGAAGGAAGATAGGGCAATCTACTTCCGTAGTGATACTGCCTGGAAAACCCAAGGAGGGGTCACTATGAGTCGGTTCCGACTCGAGGGCACATAACAACAACAAAACTTACTGAACTTTTGATTAGAGAACTCCTAATTAATACATATTAGAGGTTAATAAACCTCTTGAATACATCCATCTCTTAATATTCCAAATAACCTTAGAAGGTAAATATGTAGTAGAGTGTATGGCATGTAGTATATGTTTCATAATAATATTAAGGATGAGGAAACTAAAACTTAAAGACATTAAGGAAGTAATCAGGTAAAGACTGGATTTGAACCAAGCCTGTGTCCTCCTCTTAGCTACCATTCTTTTCTGCCTCTGTTATACAAAAAGATAGTGATGGTATGAACTAAAGTAACATGACACAGTAACCCAACCAGGACAGGCAATTCACAACCCCAATTAATGGGTGCCCAAAAAGGGTGATAAGAAAGGAACTTCTACCTTACATACCCCCAAAGAAACAAATCTGCTGTTGAGTCAATTCCAACTCATGGCAAACCTATAGGATAGAGTAGAACTGCCCTATAGGATTTCCAAGGCTGTAAATCTTTATGGAAGCAGAGTGCCACATCTTTCTCCTGCCTATCTAACATAAAAGCTAAAAGGTATGTTTTGGAGAAGGTGAGAAGGGGCAAGAAGAAGGGAAGGAAAAGAGCAAGGAGGGAAAAAAGCCCAACACATAAAAGAACATATGGCTATTCTGTAGATGAAAAAACTCGCTGTCATCGAGTCAATTCTGACTCATAGCAACTCCCACTGGGCTTCCAAGGCTGTAAATCTTTACGGAAGCAGACTGCCTCATCTTTCTTTCATGGGGTGGCTGGTGGGTTCAAACTACCAAGCTTTTGGTTAGCAGCCAAATGCCTTAACCACTACACCACCAGAGCTCCTATGACTATTGTATATGGGCCTAAAAAAGCGTCAAGACATACCTGAGTGTTCAGGGACAAGATGCCCTGACAAACACAAGCCAAAGACTGAACATGCGAATGCTTTATTCCCTATCAGCTGACCAAATTACTGCAACTAAATACTCCAGGGAGTATTAAGTGCCATAGTGCGAGGATGTGAGAATGCGCTCAATAGTTTTTAAAGCAAGGTTTTCTTGTATTCTTATCCTCAGAGAATAACAATTAACCACGCTGAAATAAAACAAGGAATCTAATAGAAAATACCATAGTGCCTAAGGCATTTAACTGCTAACCAGAAGGCTGGTGGTTCAAACCCACCAGCCACTCCTCCGAAGGAAAGTTAGGCAATCTACTTCCATAGTGATACTGCCTCAGAAACCCAAGGAGGGGTCGCTGTGAGGTGGGTCTGACTCAAGGGCATATAACAACAACAAAAACAATAGAAAAAGAACTAAATACGTCTGTATCTCATTACTCCCTTGTGCGTATATCATCCTACACTAAGGATACACAAGGCTACTTTCTTCAAAGTTAATTAATCTGCAGATAAGGGATATAGCCTTCATTTAGTTCCAATGTTATGTATACATCCCAAGATAGGTATTATCACTGTTCCTTCTAATGTCTAATGGCTGAGGACAGAAATGCAATTATATCCAACCCCCTGTTACCCAAGGCAAAAAGCTTGTTTAAATGTATCATACTGGAAAGGCCTTGAGAACCAAAAGAAAAAAAAAAAAAAAAACAGTTGCTGTGGAGTTGAATCTGACTCATGGAGATTCCAAGTGTTATAGAGTAGAACTGAGCTCCGCAGGGTTTTCTTGGCTGTAATCTTTACAGAAACAGATCACCAGACCTTTCTTCTGAAGTCACATAGGATAGGTTAAAACTGACAACCTTGAAAGAAGAAAACCAAAATTAATGGAAACAATCAGTCCTAGCGACTGGTACACCATCCAATCTGCAACCTATACAACTATGAGACCAGAAGAACTAGATGGTGCCCAGCTACCACTGCCATCCACTTGGAAGGGATGTAGGAGATCCTACATAA